GTGGCCGGTGAGGACAACCCATCCAACGTCGTCGTCGTAAATCCACGCTTGCACGGCGTTGGTTTCAAAGGGTTTTTCATCAGCCGGGTGTATGGACACCCTCTGGCGGTCCCAAAAGAAAAGCAGTTGGAAGAGGGAGGATGGTATGCATCCGGATTGGTGGATCCAGTCGCGACCGAGCAATATATTGTAGTCCACACTGGATTCGACTACGTAGAAGGCTGCGACCCTTGTCTGGTCGGCCACGGTGATTTTTAACGGCAATACCCCGATGGTTTTAGATTCATCGCCGACAAAACTGCTCATGACCACGTCATTGGGGATGAGGTCCTCATTTGATTTGTCCAGCTTCCTCATCAGGGAATAGGGAAGGATATTGACCGTGGCCACACAGTCGACGAAGACCTTGGATACGGGCACACCCTCTACATGAGCCAAAATATACAACGGCTTGAGATGGCGATATTTGTTCGGCTCGTCTCTGGGTATTACCTCGTTAAAAGCCACGACCAACAATTCTTTCTTTGTCTTTGGCCTTTGATCTAACTGCTCCTCGGCCATGTCATTATCCAAGCCGTTAGTCTGCAGGCCTCCCTCGGCTCCTGCTGGTCTCCCTTACCAGCTTCCTCCTCGGCCTCATAGCCGTTCCCGGCGAGGGTTTTCTCCTCAACCATCCCGAGGATCCCGTCGTATTCTTCATCGGATATTCCCAAGGTGGGGTCGTCTTCGGCCTCATGCCTAAAGAAAGGGTCGCCAGGGCCCTCGATAACAGGCCTCGCAATCCCGGGGATGTCGTCTGTGGATGCTTCGATCTTGGGGGGGCCCGAGCTCTCGACCTTCTCTTCGAGGGCTCATCTAGCCTTGGCCAACGAATCCCTAGCTATTAAGTAGTCGTTCAGACGGCCTACCCGGGCCCTTTCCTCGGTTGTCAGACCAAAGATAGTGTCAGCCAAAGTCACGGTGAAATACTGGCGGAGATACTCCAAGTCGCCCTTGCTGAAGGGGGCCTTAGCCTCCAATCCTGCCAGGTCGGGCTAGTATCCTGGCATCCCTCTCGCTCTGGCTTCCCTGTTCGCCTGGTATACAGCCTTAATGGCAGAGTCGGATCCGTTGGTAATGAGGAGTCCCTCTGCCTTCGCATTTTTGAGGGCCAACTCCACGATTTCATGGTTCTCAGGGGTCATGCCGTACAGGTCGGTGGCCAGATAGTCTTTATGGAATTCCATGAGAAAGGACAAACCGTTGGCCGAGAAAGGGGGATCCTTTCCGTGGTAGACACGGTCTTGGAGATGATCTGAACGACCGAGGGGAGCATATAATGGCGCAACTTGGTAGCCGCGAAATAAAGCGCTAAGCATAGCTTCTCGATCGGCGAATAGTTTAGTTCGGACATGTTAAGGGTACGGCTCAGGTAGTGCACTGCTTGCTCTCGTTCTGACTCGTTGTTCTGAGCCAGCAGACAGCCGATAGAGCTCTCCGAAGCCGAAATGTAAAGTCACAAGGGTTTCCCTCTTTTCGGCGGCATAAGGACCGGTGGTTGAGATAAATATTTCTTGGTGTCGTCGAGGGCCGCTTGATGTTCTGCTCCCCATACGAACCGTTCCGTGTCTTTTAGTTTGAGCAGAGGGGTCAACGGCCGGATTTTCCCTGCCAAATTGGATATGAACCGCCTTAAAAAGTTGACCTTACCGAGGAAGGACTGGAGCTCCTTCTTGGTCCTTGGCGGAGGGGCTGCCATAATGGCCGTAGCTTTATTTTTATTTATCTCGACTCCTCGTTGGTGAACTAAGAAATCGAGGAAATTCCCGGCGGTGACGCTGAAAGCACACTTCTTCGGGTTCATCTTTAGGTTGTGCGCTCGCATTCGGTTGATCTGTAGTCACTATTTTCTTCTGGTGCTTGGAATTCTCAGCCTGGGTCTTCTGTATCTTGGCCTGCTGGACTTGCCTCTGCATCCTTCTCAGCTAGGTTTTTGTCAATGGTTCGGCCCTGCCCCCAGCGGTTTGAAAGTTTTTACTGGCCTAGGGGGGGCCTCGTCCTTGTAGCCCACCGAGATACTGGGGGTCTGTGCCGGAAAATAAGGTTCATAGCTCGCTGGTATGTCGCGCCGGCATTCTTTAGGCCGAACGGCATGACCACCCACTCATAGGTTCCGATTGCGCCCGGGCATCAGAACGCCGTTTTGTGGACATCTTCCTCGGCTATGAAAATTTGGTTGTAACCAGCATGGCCGTCCATGAAAGACAGGAGTTCGTGCTTTGCGGCTCCGTCTACCAGGAGGTCTGACATAGGCATGGGGTACTCGTCCTTTGGGGTTGCAAGATTCAGATTTCTGTAATCGGTGCAAACCCTCAAGGCCCCAGTCTTCTTCAAAACTGGTACGATGTTGGCCAACCACTCAACATATCAGGCCGTTCGGATGAAGCCGGCTTTAAGGAGTTGTTCAATTTCTTCCTTGACTTTAAGTTGCACTTCGGTCGAGAATCGCCTTGGCCGACGAATTTCCCTATATTCAACTCGGAGTTGGGCGTCGACCATGTTGATGTCAGGCGGAGGGAATGGCTTGGAGTCAACCTGCATGGCCGCCTTCTCTGGGAACTGAAGCTTCTTCTCGTCTATCAACTTCTGGATGACGTCTCGCAGGACAACGCAGTTGTTGGTGTGTTGAGACCAAGAACTGTGGTATTTGCAAAACGTCTTCCCTTTGAGCTCGTCAGGCTTCGGAATTTTATGGCCGAATGACAACTTGACCTTTTTTTCGGCCAATAGCAGGTCAAAGATAGCTTCGGCCCTTGTTAAGTCAAAAGTGTAGGCCTTCGTTTCCCGAGTTGCAAACTTGGCGTAGGGAATTTTTGTACGGCTATTGTCGGCCTTGATAAGTCCTTTGCAGAAGAACGTGCAAACTTGGCGTAGGGAATTTTTGTACGGCTATTGTCGGCCTTGATAAGTCCTTTGCAGACGAACGGTTTGTCTATGCTGACTTCGGCTGAACTCATCTCTACTTCGTCGCTCTCGGCCTCTGCGGAGCCGTCTGCTTCGGCGTAGCTGACAATGGGATTCCTGTAGTAAGTCCCTTTTGAAGCCGTCTTCTTCCGCATCTCTTCCTTCAACAAGGATGCGTACCTGTCCACCTTGTTGATCAAGTCATGCATATCTCGGAATCCGATCCCCTGGAATTTTTTTCGGTACTCAAACTCCAACCCCTCTTTGGCCATCTTGACAAATTCCCTCTCCGATAGGTTCGTGCGGCACCAGTTCCTACATGTTTTGAACCGCTGCAAGTAGTCGCGAGGTGATTCGTCTGACGCCTGGCTCATCCTTACTAGCTCGGAGACCGTTATTTCTCGGTTGGTCTGATAGAAATGTTCGTGGAATGTCCTTTCCATATCAGACCAATCCCTTACCGAATTCGGCGGAAGGTTTATGAACCATGAGAACGCCGCGCCGGTCAGAGAGTGAACAAATAAATGAAACTTCTGTGCGTCTGAATCGACCTCTCCACACTGGTCCGTGAAGCGGCCTATGTGTTCAATGGAGGAGGTCTGCCCATCCCCGGTAAACAGCATGAATTCTGGCAATCGATAGTTCCGGGGAAGAGGGGTTTGGTCAATTTTCGGCGGGTATGGCTTTGTATACCTTTGTATACCTTGGCCCCTCCGGTTGCCTCTGAGCGAGGCCGTCCTCGATCATTCGCCGGACATCTTCGAATCGGAGCCCTTGAGGGGGTGCTTCTTGCTGTGGGCTGCATACGGCCGTGGGACCTGCTGCACATCGTTCTGCGGCCTTATTTGCTGGGCCATTTGAACAGGGGGCTCGGCTAGTACGACCGAGCTGGTTGGCGCCAGGTGAGCGCCATGGGTTTGGCCAGGGTGCGTGTATGCTACCATCGGAATGGGCGAACCGTAATGAAGGTGGGACCCCAACGGGAATAACGACGTCTGCAATTGTGGTGAAACGGTCAGATTGCTCTGACCGTACTGTTGTGATGGAGCAGCGGTCGCGCTGCTTGGGCCAGGATGGGTCTGGAGGCCACAGTGTGAACTGGGCCGAGCTGCTGAACCGTGGAATGCGTGTGACTGGTTTGTCCCAAGGGTACGGCCAAAGCGTGGAGTGGCCCATACGCCGTTTCTGCCGGGTAGGTTGGTCTGGGGCTCGCCCATGTGGGCTGGGACTGCCCCCAGCTATTCGCCGGTGGCAGCGAATGCTGACCGTAACCTGACTCTTGGGTTCGGCCAGAGATGCCGAGGCTGCTGTTTTGCCGTAAGGCTCAATCCTTTCGCGCTCTTGGCCTCTCTGTCCGGCTCTAGGAGGTGTTACGGGCGAGGTCGCCGGCGTCCTCTCCTGGAAAAGCGTCCGTAGTTCCGAGGAAAATCTGTCCATTGCAGCCATAAATGATGTCTTTATCCTGTGGGCCTACTTAGACATCAAATCTTCCACCACGGCCTGTTCTTGCATGGACTCGGCCGTGCGATCCGTCGTCACTGGGACACTGGCCGAGATTCTGACTACGTCTTCGGTCTCGGTGACTGTGATTGGTGAGGTGGACTCAGGAGTCTCAGAAGTCATTTCGACTGCTTTGTTTTTGAGCTTTGCCTGTGCCCTAGTTTCCACCATGAGTTTTTGACAAGAGTCCCACTGGGCGTGCCAAAAGTGTCGGCTGCGCAAATCTCACGGCCTGGTGCTTCGGGCCGAGGGGATGTGCGTTAACACGTGGCTTCCTGCTTTTGGATGCGGTGCGGTTGTGCGCGGGCGTGTCAGCACAGTCTACCGTGCGTCGAGATGTTGATGTGGATAGAATGGTCAAGTGGTGCGCCTGTTTGAACTCGTCTTCTAATCAAACGATTGTAGCCGAGAGAGGAACTGATCTCGGCTGTAAAGTTCACGGCCTGAGCTACAAGGCCGTTTAGGGGTGGTGCTAATGGTGGGTTTTGGGCGGTGCTCCGGCACGCTGCTCAGTGAGCGACGGTCGTATGATATATGGGGTGAATGAATGAGTAACAGAGATGGTGCTCCGGCGCCTTGAAAATCAAGGGTCGTATGATATATT